CAGAGACCAGAACATTTGGAAGTGTATGGAATTATCATAGCTCATCTCGTTGTGCATTTGAAGTCAAACTTTGATTCACTTCTTTGACTTGAATCGTGATATCGAAAGTCTACGAAGGCTGCAGTACGCATTGCTTGGCTTTATTGGCCAGTCCAGTCGTTTTCGGATGACGAAATTAAGGCTGGAATTCCTAAAGGTATTTCAGTTCTAAAGAGGAGCGCTTGTCTCTGATACCATCGTCAAGCCAGGTTTCCCATTTGCGTCCCACGTATTCGATTGCAACTGTGAGGGGTGTGACACATCGCATCGGTTGAAGCGCATCATTACTGTTTATACATTGGTAGCTTTCTATCCCATGTCATAATCTTATGAGGGGTCCTAAATATTCCAACTGAACAATTGTCAGTGCGTGGGTTGGACGGAATAAGAGGTCTTCCACATGTGGTCCGAAGGCAATACATAGTAGGTATGGGGTTGAAATACATCCGATTCTGACCCTCCGCAGCTGAAAGGGCCCTCCACAGACAGTCCTTGTATAAATGTTCTCGTAGTTCTCATTCCCTGATCAGCCCCTTGTCACGTGGCTCCGCCGGGACCACCTGACAGCAACATTATTCTTATAAATTGTTGTACTAAAAGCGAGATCCTATCGTGTTATAAACCTTGATCAAGCTCTAGTCAGCTCTTTCAGAAGCGACCAGATTCAGGTTTCATCTTTGAGAACGCCAGACAATTTGCGCGATGGCGTCCTTTGCACTGTTGATGTATCTCATCGCGGGAATACACGGTGCGGCTTGGCACATACCGAAATGAGCAGCATCCCCGCTCTCCAGCAGTTTCCTGCTCAAATCACCTCAATCGCGGCACCATTGTGCCTGATGCAATCGTGATTCCTCACTCAAAAGGCGGTGCCCATGGTTCGAAGGGACTTGAGCGCCCTGATGCAACGCTGCTTGCGCAAAGTGCGGATGTTTTCGGCAGCATCGCAGCGTTACTGCTGGCATCATTTCCGGGAAATCCAAGCGGGTTTGATGGACAAGGACGTTCTGCAAAAGAGGGGTTGCTCTCTGGGAGAAAGGCCACTTGCACCAAGTATATTTAATCGCCGGTCTGTCCATGAACGAAATACTGCTCACTAGCCAGTTGCAATCCGCTTCGCATCGTGACAACCTCGACGGAGAGTAATTGAAATGAGGTTCGGTTCAGCCACCCCCTGGCTTCTGGCTGCCAGTCTTGGCCTAGCAAGGGTATCTCAAGATAAGGATGCCATCGCACCACATATGACGAAAGGAAAATATGTCCCCGGCGTCTACATCGTAGAGATATCCGACGGCGAAGTAAGTGAACAAGGATGCTTGCACAGAAACCATATGCTGACCGGACCTATAGAGTACAGACGAGTTCATCTCAAGACTCGGGGCCCAAGAAGGTGTAGCCAGTGTTGAGGAGCGCATCCGCTTCGACTCCACGGTCTTCAAGGGCACGTCTTTCAACCTTGGAATTGTTCCCAAAAAAGACGAAGAAGAGGTCGTACGCCAGGTTGAAGCTTCGCCCGAAGTCAAGAATATGTGGCCTGTCGAAGTCATCTCATCGCCCCAACTGAATCTATCTTGGACGGCCCAAGGCAAACCCTTGGTGGAAGTTCAGCGGAGACAGGTTGGCAAAGCCGGTTATTCGCCTCACATCATGACCCAGGTCGATCGACTTCACGCTGAGGGAATTACTGGGAAGGGGCTTCGGATAGGTATAGTTGATACTGGCATCGACTACACACATCCAGCCCTTGGGGGTTGCTTCGGGCCCGGATGCCTCGTCGAGTTCGGCGCAGATGTCGTCGGTGACAGCTACGATGGAAGTCAGCCACCAAACCCAGACGGAGACCCTTTTGAAGATTGTAACGGCCACGGAACGCATGTTGCTGGGATAATTGCCGCGCTGGACAACCCGCTTGGCTTCAGAGGCGCCGCGCCTGGTGTCAAAATTGGCATGTTCCGCGCCTTTAGCTGCTCTGACACTACGACAATGGACGCTCTCATGGCTGCCACCAGTAAGGCGTATGAAGGTGGAAGTGACATTATCACTGGGTCAGTCGGACTGGTAAGTGGCTGGAGCCAAAACCCATTCGCATTGCTGGTGTCGCGTATTGTTGAAGCCGGTGTTCCCTGCACCTTTTCAGCTGGTAACGAGGTTGGGGGCACGGAAGGCCTCTTCGGCGTCAGTGCCCCCTCAACTGGCGATGGAGTCATATCGGTTTCGTCGTTCCAAAATACCCATGACCCATCCTATGACGCGACTAGCGGACAAGGTAGCGAGATTTTGAATAGGGATACGGGTGGTGCCGTCAGTACTTTCACAAGCTGGGGACCAACGTTTGATTTGAAGAATAAACCGGATGTTGGCGCACCGGGCGGAAATATTCTTTCGACTTTACCACTAGCTCAGGGTGGCTATGGAGTTTCTTCAGGAACGTCCATGTCCTGCCCTCTTCTTGCAAGCCATTGTTGCTCTGGTTGTTGAGGTTAGTGTCTCTCTCCCCTT